CCTAGTATACCACTATTACAGTGTGGGGGATCCTCCTAAGTTATACCCCTTAGTTTCCTGGTGTCGTTGTTTTTCCTGCGAGAACAGCAGCCACGAGCGAAGTGCCCTCTTGGAAGTGTCCTGCTAATGGTTGTGACGCATGTCCATCCCATAGCTTCTCGTGAAGTTTTGCTATGTCAGTCAGAAGAAGTGCTCTGGAAAAGTCAAGATCCATGATGAGCTCCTGGGACCAGTAAGTCTCTGTCGCGGAAACCTGCAGTGCTTCTGACAAGAACATTGTGATTGGACGCTTTGAACACATCTGCTGAAGCTGAAGTTGTGAACTCCTGGGCTCTAATTCCCCTCGAATGTCCTGATAGTCCGAAACAGAGGTTTCAAATGCCGACTCCGTGCTCTCCGCGCCCCACAGGCTAAAGCTTGACAGCACTGCGTGCCTAAATGCCAAGTCGTGATTCAGCCCAACACCTACAGTCTCAGCCTTGCTGTTAAGCCTGAACATCTAACCCGCACGGGACCCTGAGTCTAGATATCCTCAAGTCCTCTGCAGCGTCTGGTACCCTCAGGATATATGGGGAACACCAGGAATTCTGGGGGTCCTCGTTGAGGCATCTTTCGGTAACACCAAGAAGCACCCAACATGACAAGACCCAATGTAATCCTTCACTTAGATTCCTACGAGATCTTTTTGTATTCCAGCGTGGGTGGTGGTTTGGTGAAACATTGTCCCGGATGGGAGCCGTTACTTTGAACCCTAACTCGAAGCCCTATCCGTATACCCTGGAAACCTTAGCCGCGACCCCCAAATTCAAAACGCCAAACCTGAACCCTCAAACCTAAGGCTTACACCCTGAAGCCAAAACTCAACCCTAGACCCCAGACAGTGACCCTAAACCTTATACATGCCCCTATTAGCCCCACATTTTTATGTACCTCTGCCCAACTTATATACCCCTACGTAGTTTCCTTCTAGGGTGTAAGAATTCCCCCCTCTCCAACTGGCATTCCTGAGGCTTGCAGACGGATCCATCGATGTCGGCATTGAGTCTCTTCACCGCTGCACAGATGCTATGCAGAGGTTTAGTGGTAGGGTCCTAGGGATTCCCCTGCTTGTTTAGGGTTTCTATGCCCTCTTCTAGGTGGGTCGCCAGCCCTATGGGCTAGATTGAATTATCATGAGCATTGACATGTTCAGTCTCCTTGAATGGTCCTTCTGCAAGGCTTGGATTTGGGATTGTAGGACTTAGGCATTGAGTTTCAAGTTGTTTTCTGGGTGTTCATCCAATTGTGGATACGTCAAAGCTGCAGCAGCGGCCCATGCCGGGTCAGGGGCAATCAGAGGGATCTCCATCATATGAACACACTTAGCGTGAATCACGGTACGTGCAGCATAAACAGCAGCCAAAATAAAGATCCAGATGTATAGTTATGCATTGTTTGAGCCATGTCTTCAACATTACTTGATAATTTAAGGGCTGCCGCCGCTGCCGCCGACCCCGCAAAGGGGCGGCTGCAGCACAGGGGCAAATTGAGGGGTCCTCCCGGGAGTACTGTGACACATTAGATTTCTGTCAGGTAGGAAGTAAGGCTAGGGGGTCTTCGCCTTTT